GCCCCGCGCCCAGGCCCCGCCCCGCGCCCAGGCCCCGCCCCGCGCCCTGGCAGGAGGGACTAAAGCTGCCACGCGAGTTTAGCCGAGGTTGGGGAGCTGAGTTTCTGTCCCGATGATTCAGGCTCCCTTCCGACCCCCAATGCAGGAGCTGTAGGTCTGAACTCAAGAAGATGGGTGGACTGAGAAAGCGAGTGGAACCCCTGCGTCCTTTCCCCAGCCGAAAGAAACAGAGACAGGGATTCATCCGGCTCGTTGTCTGAAGGGGCCAAGGACCTACCTGGGTGATCCGCGCTGTGCCCTCTTAAGACTCAGGCGGACCAAAGAGAGTGCCCGAGGCCAGGAGGAAGAAGGCTTTAGCACCTCCCCTGACTTCATCCTGGCCCTGAGCCACAGGATCTCCAGCCCTAATTTCTCAGCTCAGCCTCAAGCTTCCATAGAACCCCTCCACCTCTTCCCTCGGCCTGTTCTCCAGAATGGTATCTGGCTCCTGCTCCGTAAGACAAATAACGCGGGCGGTGAGAGAAAATGAACAGTGCTGTCCAAACTCCCCAGTCAATATTTTTTCCACGCAAGCTGTTAAAAACATGCTGCTCTCTTGTTTTTGTGTTTCTTTTCAGTTTGGTACTGGAATGGTGCCTTCTGTTGTATTTTCTTCCTCCCATTTTTTAGCTCTTTAGCATGCTAGAAGTACAACAATGAAGCAAAACTAGGACAAGCTTTAATCCTTCCAAATTGGGTGGGGTAGCTACTTTGCTTGAACAAGAAAACCCAGACTGGCCTCGCTAGACCCCCAAGAGTCCTCAGAGGCAGCAAGGGGAAGAGGTGGAGGTCTGGGAGCTCTTTCTTACAAAACTGAATGGAAAGTTTTCACTTACCCTTATCAGGGCAGCACAGAATAACTAGAATGTCCTTTTTGTTTGTTTTAGACTGGAATTTAAGCAGCTTGGAGTGATAACTACATATGGTGATCACAAGTTCCGAAATGGTAATTCTATGTGCCTGATTAATAAAATTAAAACTATTAATGCAGTGTGTAGGAAGCAAACTTTTTTAAAACATGGGGTTCTGAGGCTGAGGCGGGTGGATCACTTGAGGCCAGGAGTTCAAGACCAGCCTGGCCAACTTGGTGAAACCCGCATCTCTACTTAAAAAAAAAAAACAAAAATTGGCTGGGCTGGTGATGGCCGCCTGTAGTCCCAGCTACTCAGGAGGCTAACATGAGTGAGAACTGCTTGGGCCCAGGAGATGGAGGTTGCAGTGAGCCAAGATCACACCACTGTACTCCAGTCTGGGCAGCAGAGTGAGACCTGGTCTCAAAAATAAATAAATAAATACATACATACATAAATGGGGTTCTTGGAAGTAAGCACAATAGATAGAGCCTTTGGTAGTAATGAAAGTTTGGGGGTGAAAAAAAAAAAAAGGCCAGGCGCGGTGGCTCACACCTGTAATCCCAGCACTCTGGGAGGCCAAGGCGGGCGGATCACCTGAGGTCGGGAGTTCAAGACCAGCCTGATCAACATGGTGAAATCCCGTCTTAAAACAAAAAAAAAAGAAAGTTTGGGAACTAGCAGACCTGAACGGGTTTTCTCAAATTAGGTCTGTGAATGTATTCTTTAGGGTTTTATTTTCATTTTCATATTTTTTAGATTTGCATAAGCATATTCTGAATTATTTGGGTGACCACCTTACAACTCAGTATTACCACACAATTTCAGCACCTACATTTACATGTGTGTTTTAGTGCTGCTTTTACTGTTCTGGGATAACGAGAAAAGAACAGAGGTGGTTTTAAAATGAGAATGATACTTTCATGCACAATATGATAGCCAAATGACATCATGAGATTGCAGTATTCAATAGTTGTAACAGAGAAAAATGGTGAGAAAATGAAGATGTCAGGAGTCACATGCTGGCATAGCCATGTTGAACACAAAAGAAGCTGAGCTATAGCAGGCAACACCATAGTAACAATATAAGGGATGATAGTTTTAGCAAAATACATCATTTGTCATGTTAAATTACTATAATATATTTAACTGAATGTTTTCATTTTGTGGTTTCATTTGTATTTACTTTGTAAATTTGTTGTGGTTTTTTTAGCTGTATAAGAACTAGAAACAAAAGCACATTATTTCCTACTTAATATTTGTAAATTTAAATAACCACAGCATAATAAAAACAATTTAACTAAACACGGTAATGCATGCCTGTACTCCCAGTTACTCAGGAGGCTGAGGTGGGAGCATCACTTGAGCCCAGGGGTTCATGACCAACCTGGACAACACAAGTGAGACCCCTGTCTCTAAAATAATAATAGTAACAATAATGATTTAACTGAGTTTTCAGGATTTTTTAAAATTATCATTGTTGTGTGTGTATATGTGTTTTTAAGAAACAGGGTCTTGCTCTGTTTCCCAGACTGGAGTGCAGTGGCACGATCATAGCTCACTGTAACCTCAAACTCCTAGACTTAAGCAATCCTCCAGCCTCAGCCTCCTGAGTAGCTAGGACTATTGCTATGTGCCACCACATCCAGAGTTGTGTGTATGTGTGCAGACAGAGCTATGTGCCACCACATCCAGCTGTGTGTGTGTGTGTGTGTGTGTGTGTGTCTGTGTGTGTGTATGGAGACAGTCTCACCATATAGTCCAGGCTAAAAATGGATCCATATATTTAATACTACCCAACTTTTGAGAGACAGAGGGCTAAGAAGTTTTTTAACTTAGTATTTTAACAGATCAGAGGGGATTTCTGTAGGTATGGAGAAGAGATATCTGTTCCCTTATACTTTATGTGAAAAGTCCATCTGGGGCAGTGGTGCATGTGGTAGATCACTTGAACTCAGGAGTTCAAGACTAGCCATGGGCAACATGGCAAAACCCCATCTCTACAGAAAAAAAAAATTAGTAGGACATGGTAGTGTGCACCTATAGTTCCAGCTACTCAGGAGGCTGAAGTGGGAGGATCACTTGAGCCCAGGAGGTCAAGGCTGCAGTGAGCTGAGGTCACACCACTGCACTCTTCCCTGGGTGAGAAAGCAAGACCCTGTCTCCAAAAAAAAAAAAAAAGAAAAAAAAAAGTCTTGGCCAGGTGCAGTGGCTCACACCTGTAATCCTTGCACTTTGGGAGGCCGAGATAGGAGGATTGCTTGAGTCCAGGATTTCAAGACCAGACCTAGCAACATAGTGAGATCTCCATCCCTACAAAAAAAAAATTAGCCAGGCCTGTAGTGCACATCTCATTTCAGCTACTCAGGAGGCTGAGGTGGGAGGATCACTTGAGCCTAGGAAGTCGAGGCTGCAGTGAGCTGTGATTGCCACTGCACTCCAGCCTGGGTGACAGAGTGAGACCCTGTCTCAAAAAAAAGAAAAAACGTCTTCAGAAATAATAAAGGAAGCAAGCACAAAGAGACGCAGATTAGGTCAGTTGCACACATACTATTCTAGATATTAGCTGAAGCTTAAGAGAGCCTTGATACGCTAACAAAAGCTGGCACCCTGATGCTAAACTACTTTGTTTAAAACACAAATATGCTTTTCTTACCCAAATACAATGAACTGGAGACCCAGGGAATAACTATGATTAAATATAAAATCACAAGCTGAGAAAACAGGCCCCAGAAAATTGCCTGGTCTGGGAGTCTTCAATTTTGGACTTCAGTTCCTGTCTCTGTCTCTGACTCACCATGACCTACCTCTCCCAGTGCCTCAATCCCACCTTCCACCTCCTTATATCCCATAAAATGGAGCTAACCGCCTCTTGTTCCCGCTTGAGTTACTGTGATACTATGAGAATGAAACAGATAATAAACATGGAGATGCTAATAAATCCTTCAATGAAGGTGATTAAAACAGACTGCAGTGGAAAGAGACTAGTTCAAAACCTGGGCCAAATTCTAGGCTGACCATCTGAATCACCTAAGATGCCTGTTAAACATGCAGACTTCTGGCCTCTAACCCAGACCTACTGAATCATAGTCTTTAAGAATGGGGCCAGATAGTTTACAGTGTCCACTGAGTGATTCTGGTGTGCACTGATATTTAAAAATCATTGATTTTAAAAGTTCATCTAGAAAAATAACTTCCGTGTCAATAAACAAGCATCTGCTCAGGTAGAGTCTAAAAGTCTTTGGAGGCCACTTGTGTCCAGAAGAAATCAAATGACTTATCAGTAAGCAATTCTGGATCTATAGGTTATGGGTTTTGCCAGATTCAAAAGATGGTCCCACAATCTGAGAAATGTAGCATTACCCTGTCTCTACCGGGAAAAAAAAATAGCAGAGTGTGCTGGTGCACCTGTAGTCCCAACTGCTTAGGAGGCTGAGATGGAAGGATCACTTGAGCCCAGGAATTGGAGGCTGCAGTGAGCTATGATCACATCACTACACTCCAGCCTGACAATAGAGCCAGACCCTGTCTCTAAAAAGAAGTAAATAAATAAAATAATAAATAAATAAATTTTGTCTCTGAATAAATAAAATAGAAAAGATAGTCCTTCTTTTGCTGGACTTCTGGAATTTAGCCAAGCACTACCAATACAGTACTGTGACACTGAGCTATTTCCATATCCTCCCACTATTGCTCCCTCAGGTCTCCTCTCCACTTCCCACACACATCCCACAAGAAACTAATAACCAAGGAATTGCAAAGGCACCAGCTGAAATTAGGTTGAAATTAGGTTTAAGATTACCCTCCGGTAATAAGGTAACATCCTCAGTACAAAAGCACTGAGTTCTGACCCCCACATGCAGTTCACTCATCCAGTGTGAATCAGAGGAAGACTAGGCTAGACTTGCCCTGTTCCTATAAGACAAAGCATCAAGAATATAGGAAGTACAGCAGATGGGATTGACGGCCATCAACTCTTGTGTTTGTAACAGCTCTCAAAGTCACATCAGAAAAGCATCAATCATCAGCTAGGCATGGTGGCTCATGCCTGTAATCCCAGCACTTTGGGAGACAGAGGAGGGCAGATCACCTAAGATCAGGAGTTTGAGGCCAGCCTGACCAACATAGTGAAATCCTGTCTCTACTAAAAATACAAAAATTAGCGAGGTGTGGTGGCATGTGCCTGTAATCCCAGCTACTTGGGAGGCTGAGGCAGAAGAATCGCTTGAAACTGGGAGGGAGAGTTTGCAATGAGCCGAGACAGGGCCATTGTACTCCAGGCTGGGCACTAGAGTGACAATCCATCTCAAAAAAAAAAAAAAGAAAGAAAGAAAGGAAAAGAAAAGCATCAGTCATGAGGATCTAAGTGACATCACTATCATCTTCTCTGGCCCATTGCCTCACGGTTGCTAAGCTTGCCTCTCCCTCACAGCCAAAAAGCTTTACAAATAGTTTCTCATTCAAACGCTGATCTGCTCCACAGTCACCCCACTGTGCAAGAAGGCCAAATGCAGGACACCTGTAAGTGTCTCAGGGCAGATTCAGACTGTTGTCCCCCTGACAGGAACATCAAGGGAGTGGTGGATGACAGGAGTGGGAGACCTGAGGCACAAGGAGGCATTTTCCAACTATCTTCATTTGGCAAGATGACCCTGGTAAACTGATTCCCAGGGCTGTACTTAATTAATTGCAGAGTAGTGATTATCACTATAGCATTAATGATATTTTAAATTTATATTTATGCAAAGTATGTCGCCATTCTATGGAACTCAAATATTTTCCCCTCAATTTCAGCTCAGTATTTTAGCCTTCTTTCTTGCCTTTGTTTTTCTCTTGGCAAAGTTTTAATCCCATTTTTTATGGATGGGAATACTCCAACAAAGAGAAAGGGAACTTTACCTGAAGTCCCAATAAATCAGAAGCAGCTGCGGAACTCATAATCAGTGATTATTGCTACTCCCTCCTCCATCTCCTACCTCCATTTCACAGCTCATCATCATATATAACAAAGGTATTCAATTTCCAAGGCAAACTTTGCTTAAATTCTTGGGAAGAGCAAATCAAAGAAATAGGACAGCCAGGCTCGGTGGCTGGGTGGCTCACGTCTGTAATCCCAACACTTTGGGAAGAACAGGTGGGCAG